GGTTTCCGCAGCTGTCTTGCCCAATTTGAAGCAACATTTAATGTTTATTCTTGCTCCATTTTCACTTCGACAACAAGAATTTAAGAGCTACGTTTTAATGCGCCTTTCTACGAGAACCACTTACTTCAGTATGGTGCCGATTGCACTGCACATGCGCAAGAAAACACTCTTCAATATGCAATCATTAGCGCCATCTTCCGGCTTTTCGTTCTCCTACAGTTACGTCAGTCCTGGAAATTAATAGCCGGACCTTGTATATATATATATACAAGAGACAAGCTGAAGAGAAATTTTAATTTATAATAATATAATTTGAGTTGGAAGTGAATATTTAAGATGCAATTTGAAGAAATTTAAAGTAATGTTTGGTAATAATCTTTAAATATGCATTTTCTTTTTCCTTCAAAAAAAATGAAAAACGAAGGAAACATATATAATATACATATATTGTAACACTTATACATATGAAGTCTTAAACGTGAAGAAAGACTTCAATTTTTATACATAAAATAATAAATTTCAGCGTTTTACAATTACAATTATATGTTAACACAAAAAGCACCGGAACGGACAGTTTGACCTCAAATGAAATTTATGAGGGTGTGAATCATTAAAATATCATGCCAGCTTGACCTGCATGACTTTTCCTAACTTTTTCATATCATGAAAAGCATTTAAGTTGCATCAAAATATGTAATGAACGCATAAAATGACGATTTTAATAGAACCTCTATTTGCTATTGATTTGCTATTGAACCTCTATTTGCTATCCGCTATTGAAACTTAAGGGTATCACTTAGAGTTAATACAATGTGTCTCCCCTATAGCTTATTTTTTTTTTGGAGGGGGGGAGCATGAGTTTGACTAGATTGACTCATTACGACTTTTTCTCCATAAAAGAAATCCTCCTCCTACTCTCTGATTCTCATCAAATGTTTACGCAAATGTCAATCATTTCCATACAGATTGTTTCAAAATATAAGTTGGAAACCACCATAAAAAAAATCTAGCTTGTCCAACCACTTAAAAAGATCAGATTTTCGTGAAAAATTCTGATTCACTATTGCGGAGAAAATTAATAAGCTCTTAAACTTTACCGTTACGTACATCAAAAGTTTAATTAGTACATGGGGGGAAATTGATTGCAAAATTTGGATTGAATTTCGACGACTTTGCATTTTTTTTTTGAATTTTTTATTACAGGATCAAAAAACTATTATTAAATGTCAAATTAAACTGAAAAAAAAACATCTTCAATACTGTCAGGAAATATGAATGTTTTAAATATTTTTATCTTAAACATTTCCATAAGAAAGTAAATTCTTTCAATGCATAAGCTTTCTAGCATTGATGGATTCCGACAAAAAAGCCAGTTGTGTATAACATGAACCATTTTCTGGAATAGGTCTATTTCAGTCCTGTTAACTTTTAACAAGTTTGTCAATTTTTCTGATTTTCTCTAAACAGTGTGAATTTTTCTAGAAAGTCCTTTATTTTGAGTTTTTCTAAGAAAGAACGCAAACAAAAAAACTACTCTCTTTCCCCTATGATTTTAAAAAACTACAAGTAATAAACACCACCAATGCTCTCTCTGCCTGCACAAAAAAAAAAGTTATCGTCATATCAAAAACATATTTAAGAAAAATGCTCAGAAATTTTAGCTACTGATTTTTATTTCAAATCATGTAATAATATCTTCAACGATATGTACCTAAGTCTTATGATGTTATTATTTTCCCTGAAAAAAAGTTGATTTTGTTTTATAATAAAAATATTACCATATATTGCCCAGTTTCAAAATTGTTAAAAATGACCTTTTCTAATTTTTTATAATGATATTTGAACAAAAATCAAATATTTATGCAAATTTTCCAAATGTGGTCAAAATAACCTCAATAGTCGTTCAAGATCGATAAAAATACCAGTCAAATGACGCTTATTGATGATAAAATACTATTATTTTTTTTTAAAAAAATTCTACCCCTATATTATGTTTCAGAGCTGCGATGCTACTTCATGTAATATGTTTCATCTTCGTTAAAGTCTTTGTCCTCTATTGTTTGCAATAAAATAAAGTTCTGATGTTTGATATTCTTAAAAGTATTTAATATAACTTCTTCTCAAAATTATACTTGCAAAATCTTGTCTGTTATCTGCTTTATTGATGCTTTTCTTTAATCCAGGAATTTTGCGCTGACTTTTCCACAATCGATGACTGTAACCGTTATGGAAAAATAATAGTAAGATCATTTGATTTTGTTGTTTTTACAGGGATTCTTAGGTTTTATTTAAAGTTATGATTTTAATTTTTTCTATTTCTTAACACATTCACTATCAGTTACATACAAGTGGTGGTTATTCTGTATATATCCCTGAAAAATGGGTAAAGATAAAATCACAGTAATTTATTTTAATTTTTGCAAACCTTTTAGTTTTAAAAATTCACAATAAATTTATTTTACTAAACAATGTGTTACTACTGTCGGGAGAAAATATCATCTTTTCAGCAAAAATAGTCGGGTGATAATATGCATCTTGCTACCACTTGACCTGTTTTATCAACACAAACAGTTAGGAACTGTTAGGAACAGCTTTTGCAACCTCGATTTGTCTTTCAAATGTCTGCAGAATGTTAAGATAGTTCACAGACATTATGAAATAGCGAAATTGCAAAAGAAAAATGATTTTTCTTAAAATAAACTTCAGACTAAGCAGAACTTAGGCATCAGAAAAAAAATGTTTTTCTTGGCATATCTGTTTATTGTTTTATCAACACAGAAGCAAACATTAAACAGATGCAATTATCATGATTGAAAAGAATAAACAATCTATATAGGATAACAATAAAACTGATATCATTAAAAAGATTCTTTTTCCTGCGATATTCATGCACATAGTTTTTTGTGTATTTAACATAAGAAAAAATAAACATAAAACATTACATTTACCTTAACTAAAATCTAAATATTTTAATGCGAAAAGCAATATATCTAAAGGCTTACCTGTTGTACCTGAGTGTCTGTACAATTAGTACCTATTAATTTTGTCAAGATATACTTAATTAAAAAAAATAGCTATTGTACTAAAATGAATGGTGAAATTGTGCTAATTCATTCGAGAGAAGTGCTAAAATTTCGCCAAAATATTGACGGCAAATTATCTTTATTTAATTTTTGTTATTGGTAATATTTGGAACAAAAAACAAGCTACGTACTGAAAGGTAAAATAAATGGAGAAATGGTACTAATTCGCTAATGGATAATATAAAAAATATCCTTACTCTTTTCATTACCCATGCTGTTAAGTTTTTTTTGGTTATGTAACTAAATGAAATTAAAGGAAAATAATAAAATTTTCACTATAAGGCAAAGTTAATGATGCAATGGTACCAATTAGTTTAGGAATAAAATAAGAATAAAATGTCACACCAGTTTTGACACCAATGATGCTTAAATAAATTCGGTAATAAGAGCTAGCTGAAATTTTAAAAAAATAAGCGATGGAGAAATTAATAGCCGATTTTAGGGAGAAACCGAATAATTCTTTTAAGAATGTCATACTATTATTTCTTTCAATGTTGCAAATATACTAATACAGATACAAAGTTTTTTAAAGTACTTTAATGCACAGTTTTGACACAGCAGAACGGCACCAATACTGTACATTATTTGATATAGATACTGTGAAAAAACTTTGATTATTAAGGTTTATTGTATAAGTACAACAGAAAATTGCTAGACTGTGACAAATTTAAATTATCATGAGTATGATATGAACAATAATAAACCAAACTATGGAGTACTATAAATAGTTGGCTATGGAGTACCATAAATAAACATCATAGGCCAAACGATATCGAATAAAGTTTACAGTTATTTTGATGGGTGGAGCTACTAAAACCATAATTTTGCTTAACCTAACATTGTAAAAATATTGTAAGGGAAACGAATAATGATAAATAATAAAGATACTGAAATAATTTTGGGTTTTTCAATTATGATGGTATTTGTCTTTGAATTCTGTGAATGAGTTAATACTATTTTACACCAATTAATTTCACTTGTAATTTTTCTCAGCCTGTAAAAAGAGCAGGTATTCAGATAGTTTCTTATAAATTATGATATTATACGTCATTCTTATAAAATGATTTAGAAATTTTCATTATGTTACACATTGAGTTTTTTATTACAAAATATATGCTTGATCATTTCCGGAATTATACTAATGTAAGTATATCGTTTAATTTAAGTGATTCTCTACAAATTTGAATTGATGTGTAATGTTTCTTAAATAATATATATTTAAAAAAATTAATGATAAATTGTTCTTTTGCTTTTAGAACTATATTATTGATGTTGCTGATGCCTTCGAAAAAGAAGGGCTTTGCTAAAATATAGTCAAGACACTATTGTAAAAATACTTAATTTTGTGTTTCATTATTAATTAATGAAATAAAAAAGATTAATTGGAATAAAATGTTTGGATAGTTTTTAATATAAATTTTTGGAAAACAATCGAAGCCATTTACTTGTATTGTAAAGTAAAAAAATTAAATGTTTAATATTAGTTATTATCTTACTTAGAATTTAAAAATATATTTTTGGTCAGTATCAGGTGGTGCGCAGTGTTGAATTAAAAAAATATATGAGAAATACATTATATTTGTCCCTGCTATTTTTTTTTAGCATTGATGCAAGTATATATTTGTCTGCTATATTTAAAAACATTTCTTCAGAAATGGTTCTTACTTTTAAAGCTTAAGTTATTTTAACATCTTTAACGTAATTTTTACCAACGATTGTTGTAACCTTGACAAAACTTACTTCTCTTTGAATTACTTTGGCGATTCTGGGTGATATATTGCTTTTAAGTAACTTGCATAATGTTGTATTGGTTCTCTGGTATAATCAGTGATCGGTAAAATTGCATCAGTTTTCAAGAATAGCCCATTAATTGATACTGTAAGGACCTTAGGACACACAAATGCAATTAGACAAATTAAGAACTCAGTTCAATCCTAAGTATTTCAATGTTTTATTCCGTTTCATTATAATATGTCCAATGGAGTAGTAATTTGTAAAAAAAATTATAATCTACAAGATTTTTAATGTATTGATCAGCTTATTTTAAACATTAAAACGTTAACGTGTTAAGCCATATAAAGCTTTTAAGAAAATGATAATTGCAAACTTATTTGAATATTTCAAAGCATAAATTAAATATTTAAAAAGAATACATTCTTAATTTTTCGTTCTTTAATAAATTTAATTTAATTTTACTTTTTTTAATAATCAATTCCTTTTTTTCTATTTTTTTTAAAAAGTAAGTTTATTTTCCGGTTAAAGAGTTTTTCTTCCACGTACATGCAATTATAGCGTATTTATTTTATTTAATTCAATCGCATTTGCCAATAAATATATACATAGCTTGTATGTTTCCTTTTAAATATTATAAGAAGGCATGCGTAAAATAAGTATTTTATAATTTTATTGTTATAAGAAGGCATGAAGAAAATAAATAAATATGTTATAATTTTATTGTTATAAGAAGGCTTTGGTAAAATATTATAATTTATTTAGTTTAGGATATGCAAAAAAAGTTATAAGATATGTGTCATTCTAGCATTTTTATTTTAAAACAAAACTAAATAAAATATGTACTCTCGGAAATAAAGCTTTCTCTTTTGACGGTTCAGCATTCCTTCAGCTGTTTTTCGTTAATTTTGAGGATTGTTTCTTCAAGATACACTTGATTTGTATCAATATGCGAGTTCTCAAAAATATGTCGAAATTATTTCCTTAACTCTGAAATGTGGAAAATATTTAGCCAGAATGCAGAATAGACTATCAAAAATGAAGTGATGAAACAAGCTGCCTAGGCTGTATTTCTATCTCAAAAAAGGAAGATTCCGGCATGGATTCCAGTTTTCGGCATGTGTGATATTCAACTCTCTGTTCAATTTGTCCTTCTTGTGTTGCTTGAGTGACATTGATCCATCTATATTGCTCCCACCATAAAGTTATTAATAGAAAAATTAAATATATTATGTTCTAGGAGGTTTTTTTTCTAGAAATAAAAATAGATTAACAGAAAGTCTCCCTAATTTTAATGTAATTCACTTTACAGAAGAAGTGGCTACAGTTATTTTGTCCCTTTGCAACGAAATTTTGCTCGGATCATATGCCAGGAAATGGTTTCGTCAAAAAAGAAGATAGTTTCGTGAAATTTGAGCATCCATTATTTTACAGTGAATAGACATTTCAATGCAATTTTTTCATACAGGTTTATATAATCTAACTTGATTCCCACATAATAATATTGTAACAGAGTTGGAGAGTTTGAATTTTTTGAGGGAAGAGCTGTTATATAGCTTTATAATATTTTTTCGGATGAATATTTCCGAACATATTTAAATGATATTTAAAATATATTGGCATTCCATACGTCGCAATTTTGTTAAAAATTATTCTGAAAAATCCAAAAATGTGTTGTCTCTGACTGTCGTAACACAGTTTAAAGGTTTATAAAACGTTTAGGTATTTATAAACTCATTCAATCGCCCATTAATAAATGCACTGTTGTTGATATATTTTCTCGTTCTCACTATGCTTATCCCCTAATCTCAAAGCAATGTTAATCTTAAACATGAAACTTAAAGCAATTCCTTCTTTAATCGTTTTATAATTCCTTCATGAAAATGAGCATATTTGGTTTATTTCTTTTCTTATAATTCATTTTGCGTATTCTCGTTTTGTTCTCATGTCTTGTGCAATTCACTTTGTTCATTTTGTATATACTCTTTAATATATATATTAAAGAGTTCATTTAATACAAAAGATTTTTTTACATTGCTAAAAATGTGGCTCGTAGTATACATTTTCCTGAAGAAAAATTATTGAAAAAGATTCTCAGATAAAATTCCTCAAAAAGTTATATAAGCCTCAATGTTTATCGAGAACCTTTATTTCCACTATCTTTCACTTTTCTACATTACAATAAATGCAGATATTATCCTTCTTACTTATTTTTACAAAGTACTCAAATTTATAGCAGTTCTTATATTCGGCTATATATACCTGAAATTCACTTCGAAAAATCAGATGTTCAGAGAAAGAAGAGAGGAAAAATTGATGTTGAAGTAATGATAGAAAAGAAAATGAAAGGATTTTTTTAGATAGCTACGCAAGATTGAAATCACATCGTATCTAGGATTCTTGGGTTAGACATTTCTTCATCATGATGAAAATTTTATTTCTCATTTTCAAAACTCTAAGAAACGGCTTTTATAGTAAATTATTAATTTTTACTTTCCTTTTCCATCTATTGTTTTATACACTTTTTTATATTTGTTTTTGTCTTTTATTAATAATGTGCATGCGCCAGCAATTAAAATCTATTTTTATATTTTTTGTTTTTATAAACACACTTTTTGAAATTTTGTGAAAAAGAATAAAAGTTACGTTTTTTTTCTTCCTATTCCTACTATTAATTCACACTCTCCCTATATCTTGTTCAAATTTTTATTCAGTAATGAAATACTTTTTATTCACCCACTCAAGTTCAAATGCATTTTTTAAACTTGTAGTGGATGACACTTGATGTTAATACAGTTTTTTCAAATATTAATTCATTAATTAAATAGGGATGAGTGAAAAACAAAATGGAATCTTCCGATTGGTTAAGTATTGTTTTAAATTTCACTATAAGCAATTCAGTTTTTCACATATTTAAAACATAACATCAGTGACATTCTTTAACTTATAGCTCTATTTGAACAAAAAAAAAATAGTTTATAGCGATCCTTTAAATATTAAATTATTTGATATTCGCTGTGTCAGATGAGTTCAAAAAAGAACATTACGTGGTAGCACGTGTGGTCCACGTCTCCAAATTTATATTTTTATATATCTCACACCAAGCGCCTTTTTTTCAATTCCTACTATTAGTTCACACTCTCCCTATACATTGTTCAAATTCTCCATCGTTAATAAAACACTTTTTATTTATCCATTCAAGTTCAAATACATTCTTGAAACTTGACACTTGATGTTAATACTGCCTTTTCGAATGTTAAATTCATTATTTAAATTTAATTAATTTTAGTTTAATATGGGAGAAATTTTTTTTAAATTATTTAATTAAAAGGAACTAAAATAAATTTTTTCTTGTTGACCTAAGTAGAAATTTATATATANCATATATATATATGTTATAATATTTGTTAGTTTAGGTAAAACGTATGATGCCTTCGAACTGTGCTAGTATATTTAGAGAGAAAAAAGAGCAATACAAATTTTTAAGTAAGTTTTATTCAAATAACAAGTAATAAGAAGACCAAGTAAAGGAACAGCTCTTACCAGTGAATGAAAACCCTGAAAAGGAACACTTAATTTTAGTTATTTTTTTGATGCTCTTTATGAATTTATTAGCCGTACAAATATTTAAAAACAAGCCTATTCTTGAAATTATAACATATAAATACTTGGAAAATGTTAACTTTTTTTGTAATCATGAATTGAAAATTATAGTGTCAACGTATTAGCACATACTGTTCATTCTCTGGGAAATCTATGCGAAGTAAAGGAACATGCCTGTACCCTCACTGGTTAGAAGTTGTTTTTCGCATTTTTAACATACTTTCGATGCGGAACATCACTAAAGGTGCAAGAAAATTAAAGTTTATCTTTTTTTTTCATTAACTTGGAAAAAACCCAGTAAAGGAACACTTGTTCTTTCACTGGTTTTTCATCGTTTGGTAATCCAGTGAATAAACACCCTCTTATCTTAGAACTTTATTATGCTATGATGCTGAAAAAAAATAAAACGCAACTTCAATAACTGTATTTTGAATTCTCTTTTTCACAGTGGGAAAAATAAAACTATTACAAGCAATTAATTCCACTTCAAACATATAAATACAAACACTCACCTTATAATTTTTTCAAGGAAACAAGGTGTTGCAGTGATAATAAAAAAATTCAAAAAAATTTCCAGAGAAGTCTATTTGACCAGGTAATCCAAAACATTGCTAGATGACTTCCTATTGTTTGACAGTAAGCTATTGTTACCAATCAATCTAAAGAAAAACTTTCAAATTCTTATTTTTAATCAATATATATATGAAATGTTCCTTCACTGGTAGGTTTACCCTAATCACTTACAACAAAATAGGTTTTATAATAAAAATATTTCTGAACTATATTTAAAAAATAAGTTTAAATTTTTTAAATTTTGTCTTGAGTTTATGATCCTATTAAAATGCCTGGATGCATAAAGAGTTTGTAATGATTGAAAATTAATACTCCAAGGTATGAGATTACAGAAAAATAGGAATGCGAAACATTTCTTGAAATACTATTATTAAGTATTAGTGCAATGCAAAAGCTCTGCTTAAATTAATTTATTCGCACTTGAAAACTGTTATTGTCATTTTGGTAATGATTATGAGAGAAATAAAAAAAACGTCATACATTTAGCAATGTTTTATGCATATAGATCACTCTCTGAAAAGAGG